TCACATCAAACTGCGACAATGCCATCTCTTTTCAGACGGGATCCAAAACTTATGGCGGGCAATTCAGCGTGAAAATAACAAATGCAAATTAATATCCTCACCGCTAATCTTGCTCCATACACGCTCAGTGAAGAGAGATGGGACTTTGTTGGCTGGACATGCCTGCAAGCACAACCCCGCACACGTCGGTTGGGGCGTCGCAATCAACTCGTGAGTCGGTTATATTTCCAAACGGCGCAGCGGAACATGTTGAAACACTGCCGTAACTCGCTTCGCTACAATATCACAGTGATCGTTTGATGTTAATCAAGCATAGAACCGACTTCTCGCACGAAATTCTGCATTTTTGCACTTCCTTGCCTCCAAGACTGCCATTGCGCGTATGCTTGACACGCACAACCATCTGAAAGATTTTTGGAGGGTGTATAAGCCCGGTGCGTAACCGCCCTACGTTTTGGAGGGTGTATACACACAGCCTATATATATATATGATCCAAACCCTGCTTTTAAATAAGTTTACACACATGCAAGGAGTATGTGAACAGTTCAACAACTAATCATGTCTATTGCTTGCATTCTATCCGTAGTGGGTCCTGAAATACACATTGATGAGGCTCACCTCTCCAGTAACATCTTTTCTTACCTCACTAAATCCAGATTTGCTTTTCAAGCATAGCTGCCATTTGTCCAAAGTTTGTAAAATTGATAAATAGCTGTTTTTGGTCACATGTTTTGTTACAATTGTGCACATTGCCCACAAGATATCTGCTTGTAAATGCTAGAGTTTGAAAAGCACTTAATCGTTCCCAGCTGCTACTTTACAGCTTTCACACAATTTTGTTAGGAGTGTATAGTATTTGTCAAATCTTTTCTTAAGTTAATACCACCTGAGGTAAAATCATTTCCAGCATTTAAACAAAACCCCCAGATTTTGATATGAACACCTACCCAGTCTTGCTTTCAGTGATGATGGACCAATTCCTTTTCAAACCAGAAGACAGGCATTCAAAGAATCAACTGAAGATTACCATCGATCCTGTACATAGGCATTGCAACATTCAATCAGCTGATAAAAGCTGCTCCCCTGTGTAACAAAGCATATGAGTACAAAGTATGTGCTACTTTTGATGAATTACCCAAATACAAAGTAGAAACAAGTGAGGAAAAATCCATCCAGCCTGCTGATGATGACAGAGGGGGTGGCACCATGGATTTTCAGTTTGAGGGGAGGATTTTCAAGGGGCCTCCTAAGCAAAATGGGGCTGCCTCACAGGGGGCTCCTGAGCAATGCTATCTTGAAAGTTGAAGGGAAAGAAAAATTGCAGGCATATGCTTCTTTACCAAACTGTTATAACCATTATATCCAGGTAAATAGATGTTGACAATTAAGAACACTGCCTTCTAATTTTACACAAAAGGGTGTTGGTGCCATACAACATGGCCTCCTGGCACATCAAAGGGCTTTGTCACCAAGAACAGCATACTTTCAATCCACAAAAGGGGTCTTCAGAGTTTAAGGGAATCCTGATTTGGAAATGCTGCCATCTACCCGGCTGCCGGCACGGAGGGGGTGGAGGGGGGGGGGGGGGGGGGAGGCGGGGACAGCCCCTATGCCACTGCTGCGTCGTCCCTGGTTGAAAGCATCCTGATTTTGACCCACACCTCGTCTCTGCCTACGCGCACCTTTTCAATAAATTACTTCATTTGATCTGTGACTCGATTCGGTACACACATACTTTCATGCACGCACAATAAGCACATACCTTCAACACCCGTGCCTTGCGTACCGCATGTACCCACACCCACCCCTCATCACGCCCGGAATTCAAAACCGCGGGTCGGCGCGGACACGGTCGCATACGCAGGCGGGTGCGCATGCGCAAACGTGACGTCATAAATCTGACTGCACAGTAGTGCAGTTGTGTGTAAATCGACTCGGATCAGACGTGATTTACACAGGAGGGCCGT